TCCTCGATTAAGAATCAAGATGCAGATGCGTTGTCACTCCTGAGGACTGAGATGGAATGCCTCATTTCCAGTAAAAAAGGGTCTCCGGATCTCTACACACACCATACGAAACACAGCAGCATTAAGCTGCTATTTTACGATGGTATTCTGTGAGAGCGTGGTCCTTCCCCGGTCAAGCCGACCCATTCGTGCTACAACCATAATATAGCTGCAGCGTGATTCTACCACGCATTAGATCACAGAATACTATTTCTCTCTATCGAGAACATAAGGTATTGTCTATGGTTTGTAATACAAAAGAAGTGACGTTTCGTTTCGTGAAGTATACATAAACATAGTGATTAAACGTAGTTATTATGTTTTCTTTAATAGTGAATATCGTTCATTATATTCTCTTTGTGTATATAGTTATCTGTGGATGACTCTCAAGAGTTTTAGACATAAAAATGAGAAATTATTACATGAACATACGAAAGCTTAAAACTGCAATACTTTAGTATAAATACTAAAATTAAATAACTTTATTAATTAAAATAAATAAATAACGTTGTTGTCGATAAATAAATAATGTTGTGAGTTGCCTTGAGAATGTATGTATAGTCTTAAATTAGATGAATTTTAATTATAAGATAAGAGAATTGCTTGTTTTAAACCTTCAAAATGAAACAATAACTCCTTGCACATATTTATATCTATATTATAACTTAAGGTTGGGAAATGTATCGCCTATAATCTATTATAGCATTAAGTATTCCATCACCCCATTTTGTGTCTTAACAGCTGATTAGAGGATATGTCAAGATACTAATGGGATGGGGAGAAAAGATCTTACGGCTTCCGATACATGGCGGTATAACCATTTTTTAGGCCGGTGTAAAATATCCAGACTGACGAGTGACAGAATACAGCGTCCAAGATGCGAGTGTGAGATAGAAAAGTATAATTATTACAACACTTAAATGGTCGCGTTAAGATTTAAAAGTATCACTATATATATCTAATCATGTTGCCACTATGCCGCAAGATTTGGTTCCAATTCCAGTCGGAGTCAACTTATGTGCAAAATACAATTTGTTTTGTTTTGTGGTCTTATTTTGGTGTAATTTAAATACATTTCAGACAATGTATCCTACTTTATCCCCAACGTATTGCATAAGTGTTTATCACATGTATATTTAGGTATAGAAATAAAACGGTTGGATGTCTACATTTGCGTATACACTTTCTAGCACAGTAGTCCCTTTTACGCAGTTACGTCTCTGTGATTATTCGGAAATTGTCACCGTCTTCATTTAAACGTCAACATGTTTATCTGTTTGCAGAAAAGCAGTAATATAAATTCACAAAAATAAAGAAACTTAATTAAGATTTATTACAGCACGTGCTAGATCTAAGCTCGACGATGTGTTTGCACCGCTCAAACAGAAAAATAATTGTACCCTTTATATATAGCTTGGTTTATGCTATGATACAATCACTTGCGCTGTGGCTATATTTACACACAATCACTGCAAACGGTTTATTTTACGAAATTATTTAAAACCTTGTTCATTTCAACATTTTAAGTGTTTCACTTTTAGTGCTGGCATATTTTATCTCATTGCATTCTGTCTTAGCGTGAATCCACGTTAATTTATACGAGAACAAAAAGTATATTTTTAAACCTTATGGTATACGGTTAATATTTCGATACTCGCGATAATTTATACGTGCTAGAGTTAAACTGCAAATAAATTATGCCTGTAACACGATGGGTCGACTTGATCTGGAAGGGCAACGTTTTCGCAGGCTATCAGTAATGTTGTTTCGTTTTTCAAAAAGAACAGAAGTTTCACTATACTAGTAACGAGGCGTTCCATCTTAGTCCTCAGAAGTAACGAATCTTTTTCATTCATTAATTGTAGCCTATCGAAAATCTACTGCTGAAAGAAGTTCTTTTAGATTGCTTCATATAGATGATTTTGCCGTAGTTTCAACGTTTCCTCTGTTTCCACGGATAATTAAGCAAGGAAAGATGCTGCCCATCTCCTACGTCATTACCCTCTGTCGCCTTTTACGATACTCACGGGTGTATAGATTCTCTTAGGTTCTTTTCAACCGACTTCCAAAAAAAGGAGGAGGTTCTCAATTTTATTGTATTTTTTATGTGTGTTACCTCAGAATTTTTTTCTAGTTAAACCAATTTTGAATGATTTTGAAAGCTGGTGCTTCTCATGTGGTTCCGTATAAATTTGATCAAGATCTGATCAGTAGTTTTCGAGTTATCTTTAATAATGCATATTTAATTGACTTTTACTAAATTCATGATGTTTTCATTTTATTTATATTGCAGTTGGTCGTACAAAATTTTAATTTTTCCACCTGTTACACACGATTTTCGTTTACTCGGGCATAGATCTTACTCGAGTATACAATGTCTTCTGCCTGTACACAATAGTTTTGGTGAGAAAATTCTTAATTTTACTGTTTTTTTACCAACGCTATTACGATGTATCAAAATAGTTGTTGTCTTTCTGTGACTTTTTCATAGCATCGTTGTCTCCATCCTTATAACTTGAATTTGTCTTATCCCATACTACAGGACAAACTTCTACAAAAACGATTAAATAATCAGTACAAGACGAAATATTGGCGCGCGAAATTACTTACTATTTATTTTATTTTACTATTACAAGAATACATGAACCCTGCCGTGACGTCCCGGCTTTTCTGACGTGGCTGGTTCTTACATCGTAAAGACCATTACACATAGGTCATAGGGTAATGTGTCTCTGACCATCAGGTATACTGAGTGCTCGTGTGTTAGCACTTTAAATTAAAGGATTTAAGAGTATTTTCCTAAGTCAATTTTTGTGATAAATACAATACAAATCGTTTGGTTAACAATATCACAATGCACTCTTTTAATCTTATCATCATTATTTCAACACATCACAAGTCTACTTTTGAACATATACCACAAGATCTGATCTGATTATAGAATGCCATAAGACACTGTACTAAATAACCCGCTTCCATCGACTCACTGTTTTATCAAATCGTCATTGCATATAATGGGGTTCACCCAGCAATACACTTTCCATGACGAAGCTTTAACCCAAGAATATTTCTTCCTTAGAAGTTTCGGAACGACTATGCTATGAATATAGAAACTCCTTATTTCCAAACAGAGCATTGGCCGCTTTCATACCCCTAAATATTTTATTTTAATATACTATTCCATACCACTAAATACATTAAAGCGTTTTAGAATAGATAATATACGTGCACATAAGAGGTTAGCATTTAAAAAAAACCTCGGCATAACATCATCCTTCTACATTACATACATAACAACTTCCTTCTACATATAGAAAAAAATGTTAATAAAACAGAAATTGCAATTTCTTATTATAGAAAATTTCTCCTGTAATTTTAATACGCACAGGTAGATAATATTTAAATTTATATGTAACTGTTATCTTTAATTTTAACAAACTTAAATCTTTCCTGCAATAATTATCTGTAAATATCCTGATTAACTCTTACCTATTTCTGTAAAATATGTCTTTAGGACCAGAAAAGATCAGTGAATTATAAAAAGAAAAATATTACAACACTGTGCTGAGTACACGAATTGTGCTTCGTAATTTTTTTACGTGTGTACCATTGAGAACGTAAATGAAAGAATGTGGGCTTGCAATTTAATTGCAGGGTAGTATCTACAACTATTCTATATTAAATTGTTTTGAAATTAACTTCGATACCTAAATAACTCTCTACATAAGTTTATACGGTACGGAATTTTTAATATAAATATAAATAAATAGGTATTTATTTCAATCTTGTATGATTTCTCTTCCTAACTATTTACAGCAAAAAAAATCTTAAAATTTTTTTGTATTCCGGACCTTAAAAGCCGCTTTCATAATTTTTTTATGTTTGCTGCATACGTCACGTAAATGCATTCGGTTTATATCGCATTTTAAAATACTTGTCCAGCAGCTTAGGATCAGCGTTAACAGTGCAAAACTTATTGCAATCAATAAATAATTCATCTGCGAAGCGTGGCGATCGTCATGATTCTTTTAAACATTTTGGGCAAGTTAATACTAAAACGGTAAATAATTTTATTTAACTTTTTCAACTGTTATAAACCAGTGTTTAATTACTTTTCCATCTGATGGTAAATAATGTAACCGAAAATTGTAAAATGCACTGATTTAAGTTAACAAAAGCCTATTTACTTCACCTTTGAAGATACACTTATTGTAATCGTATGGAAGGGCAGATGCTCGCAAATTATTATAGGTAATATCGTTAGTGTTTGTATATTCAGTTCACAAAAAACGATTTTCCCTATGCAAAAAGTCCATTGTAACACCTAACCTGTAATACAGGTTTTTTTATACCTACATCAGGCACCAGTCTCTCACAACATAGGTACTTGCAGGTCTGCTGTCTGACATTTTGGAATACTTAGCACTAAGAATGCCTATTGTGAAGAGAGAATATATTCATTCATTTATTCATTCATTGTCTTTTTTAATCTAATTTTAATTTCAAATAACAAAATAATTACTTAAAGCCAATATTTAATATTATATTTTAAAATGAAGTCTTTTACATATTTGAACAATAGGGATATCCGATAAATATGCGAATTTACATTTGCTTAATTAATATTATTTATGATCGCAGTTGGCCCTTCAACCTGACATTCCATAAATTTGATGCTCAACAGGTGTTGGACTTGTGATCAATATCGTTCACTTTGCATGTATGGCACTTTGCGTACAGTCACACAGTAAAATTATACCTACGACACTTTCAAACATTTATAAGAAATAGATGTCCGTTCCATTTGATGGTTATTGTATCCTTGTGTTTTAAGACTAGTCATTGAATATAAATATATTTTTTTGTTTGCAGTGAAAATGGAGGCGCTAAACAGGCTAGTGGCGGGATATCACGACCTAATGGACAATAGAAGTGACCAACGAGTTAAAGATTGGTTTTTGATGTCATCGCCTTTCCCCACTTTGGCGATTTGTCTCACATATGTGTTCATAGTTAAAGTAAGTTAATCTGTTTATAATTGCTTAAAAAATGTTTTATCTATAATATAAAAATATTTAAATACGAAACATCCTTTTTCCGGTGTAAAACCTGAATTCATTACTATGTCTCGGCAGTCTTTAAGTGCGAGAGTTATTTTATGTCTGTTTGACAAGTTCAAGTTTATTTTGTAATCCCTGAGCTCCTTCAGTTCAGTAGCTTAGGGATATCATATAATAACAACAATTATTTGCAGGTGCTGGGTCCGAAGCTTATGGAAAACAGAAAACCATTCGAGCTTAAGAATGTACTCATATGGTACAACTTATTCCAAGTAATATTCAGTTGCTGGTTGTTCTATGAGGTATATTGTTATTTTTTAATTTCTTTGCATTTATTTTATAAATAAATTTGTCAGAATTAATTGCATTTTTTTTAATACAGAGTATAGTAAGTGGATGGTTTACTACGTACAGTCTTCGGTGCCAGCCAGTCGATTACTCCAGATCTCCAGAAGCAATGCGAGTAAGTATTTTAATGACAGGCAAAGAGTAAGAAATTGAACTATTCATAAATAGCAACAAAATTCATATTTGATGTATTACTGAACATTGTTTAGAAACTTTGACCTTACTATTTTGACTTCAGTAATCACCAGGTGGTCAGTTCTTTCAATAGAGAAACGATTTTTAGGTGCAGTTTCTCAATTTAAATTATTATCATAATATAATAAATCATATTACAGAATCTAGTTCATGTATAGACAACATTTTTACGAATAAATTTTGCATAAATATATATATACGAGTAGTTCAAAAATTGAGCTTTGATCACTGTGAACAATTAGTTTCGTTACCTTATGTTCACAAAAATCAAGTAGATGAGAAAATTGTATTTGTTCCAGTAAATGCACGTTGTTTAGAAATGAAATGAAAGGAAGTTTAGAAATAACATACTGAAAAAACTTCCAACACTTTCATACAAAAATGATACTGATTTATTGTATGAGACATTATTTAAGCTTTTTTGCAGTAAATTTGATAATAATTTTACTTATAAAACTTTCTCCTCGAACTGTCACAAGACATTCAAGGAATGGGTCATTCAAAGTATACGTAAACTTTACCATAAAAATTCATATAATCCTAGCGTGGATTAGCGCGATTCAGAGAATATGCAAAAAAATATTCTAAAATATTTAACAGCCCAAGTCTTTGCATTTGAGCAACAAAATTAAGACGGCTTCAAATAAAATTAAAATGACATGGAGTACAATTAATAGTGAAAGTGGTAAGGTTAAGTCTCACAGTTCTAACTACTAATTAGATTTTAACAATAAATCAACCAAATTTTATCAGAACATTGCCACGCTGGGTGTTAAATGATTTTTGAGAAATATTTTACTTAAAATTCCAATCCTAACCACTAAGTCGCCGAATCATTACTCAAACACAATGTGAATGCGTGTCCAAAGTGTTTAACATTTCATAAAGTATCATTAAATGATATTGTAAAATACTTTAAAACTATTAATATTAAGAAAACCGCAAGTTTTGTGGGGAATTTCCGTTAAAGTTATTGCGTTTATAATATATACAATTGCACCTCATTTAGCTATTATTATCGAATTCGTAAAGGAGGAGGTATTCAATCCGACTGTTTGTTTTTTTGTGTGTTACCTCTTAACTTACACTCGCGTATACTTTGGGTGAATAGATTTTGATGAGTCTTTTTTTATCTGAAAGCTGGTACGATGCTGGTTGCCTCATATAAATTTAATCAAGATCTGATTAGTAGTTTTTGAGTTATCTTTATTTATGTGTATTTTTATAAGTGGTAGAGCCACGCTGCAGCCTTATTATGGCCTTATTGTAGCACGAATGGGGCGGCTCGACCGAGGCAGTACCACTCTCTCACAGAATATTAGCGCAAAATAGCAGCTTTATGCTGCTGTGTTTCGTATGGTGAATGTAGCGAACCGAAAACCCGTTTTACTGGAATTGAGGTATTCCATCTTAGTCCTCAGGGGTGACAACGCATCTGCATTTTGATTCTCAATCGAGGTTAAATGTAGATGTCTATGAGCCACAGCATCCACTTACCATCAGGTGGAATGTGTGCTCGTTTTGTCACCCTCATTATATAAATAAAAATATTTAATTGACTTCGAATACATTGATAATTTTCTCATTCTAATTATATTGAAGTCGGTTGCATAATTTTTTTTTAATTTTACCAGTTGTTTTTAATACTAGTATCGAATCTGGTGTGTTTCTGATTTAATGAAACATAGTAAAGTAACAAAGGTACTTTACCCCGCATTTGACCCCGCCAATTTTAGACTTACTTTTACTATCAACACTCATCTTATGTTAAATTTTTAAATGTTAATAATTTAATACTCTTATTTAATATACTTTATTGTTCACCACAAAACGATAAAAAACAGATTACAGAAAGTAATACTTAAGAGGTGGGCACAATAAGGCGGTCTCGCTAAAAAGCGATCTCTTCCAGACAACCTTAATATTTGGAGGAAATTGTACTATTGAACATTGGCAGGTGTATATTATAATAAACTTAAATGCTAATACCTAAATAAAGTAAACTGATACATAATAACAAAATATTTAATACTCTAATATATACAATAAAAAATATGATAGATAAGATTAAATAGGCAAATATACATAAAATTTACATAAATAAATAAAGACAGGATACAAAATTTAAATGTCGCATTTTTGACGTCAGTCTTAAACTTATTTAGTGTTTTCGCACGACGAATTTGTGGAGGAAGATCATTCTGTAAGCAGATGGCCTTGACTGTAAAGGAATTCTTAAAGTATTTAATACGATAATAATGCGGCGCGAGTATAAGTTCTCCGGCTGACGGTAGAACTCTATTCGGTCTGTCTTAAAGTTTCCCTTCAGATAGCTAGGAGTCGTTGGATTGAATAATACACAGTACAAAAGAAACAAATGCTTGTCCGCATCAGAAGGAGGAGGCTGAGTAGACAAACTTACAACAGTATAGAAAACGAAGAACAAAAGTAAATCGCCACCCCTCCACCACCACCACCCCGCCACCCCTTACAAATACGGTCGTTGCGAAAGAGATGAAATCCTGGTAATGAGTATAAAGTACATGGTAAGCATGACTTCAACCAACATTCGAAGACGAGAATGGCGTGATTATTAGGGGACTCAAAAGACGAAAGCATAGCAGTATAGTGGGATGGATTATTTTGTGCATTTAGGTGAATCACATTAAAACTTTTCAGAGAATCTGAGAAGTACGAATTAAGGGTAACATTTAACGGAATAGAAGACATTGTGCTGTGAAAGCTAAACTCCTTAGATGTATCATCATTTCACGGCAAAGACAAAAATCATCAATATCATCATTAATAATAATATTACCAAAGTGACGTAATATATTATAAAATAAACTAAAACTATATATAATAAACTATTAAATAACAAAAAGTATGAAAAATAAATATATGGAAGCCCTACCCGCCAGTAGTCTGGAAGAGATTTACATCAGTAAAAAAATATATATAATTATTACTTCTATATATAATTCTATATATAATCTATTATAAAAATATATAAAATTATACACTTCATAAATTCAATTTCTCAATTTCTCAAGGGGTCTCTCAGCAACTGAGGCTGATGTTAAACTGGTTAAACATATCACTGGCATAATTTACAGGATGCTTTGGGCATATTCTGTGACCTATTCAAAGCCTTTGATTGCGTTAACGGTGATACATCAATCTGGAAACTACAATACTATGGTGTAAGAAATTATGGTCTTAAATTTGTTATTTCATATTATGTTCTTCCGAGTCGATAATACAAATAAACGTCGATAGTAAAATAGGCGTGCCTCAAGGCTCAATTCTCGGCCCATTTCAAGTCTATATTCATGATTTACCTTACATAGTAGAAGATAACCATGAAATATTATCATTTGCTGAAGATACTTCATTAATTTTCTAACTAAAACGACAATTACTAAAGTATGACGAAGCAAATAACGCTATACCATATTAGCAAATAATTAAAACTCGAGTTATGAATTTCATAAATTTGTATGAAATACATAACTCCATATTGTAAACATCAAATTACTAATGTAATTTTAAATGGGGAGTAATTGTGTCTTGTCGATACCACCATTTTTTTGTAATAACATTAGATGCGAAACTGCAATGGAGCCCCCATATACCAAAACTAGCAAGCAGACTTAGTCCTGCAGCGTATGCTGTAAAAAATAACAATCTTACCACTGTTGAAATAGCTAGACTTGTTTATCTTAGCTATTTCCATAACATAAAGTCGTATGGTATTTTGCTATGGGGACACGCAAGTGACATTGAAAATGTTTTCGATTCGCTGAAGAGGCCATTAGAGCGATGTATGATTTAAAACCTGTAGAGTCTCTAAAACAAAAAATTTAAGAATATCAATATTAACTTTGGCCTCTCAATACATTTATGAAAACAAACAAAAATATAAACAGTTATAATAAGGTAAGTGTATTAACTCCGTAAATATTAGGAACAGACACAAGCTAGTTGTATTAGTTACTTGAATCTACGGAATCAGTAATTCATTCTCGGGCCGATATATACGCTTTTTTCCAAGTCAGTAAATTAAACATAAAAGTGACTTTCAATAAGTACATATTATTTATAATCTATACTGAATAAAGATTTTATATTTATAATATTTCACTATATATGCATCTTGTTTTTGAAAAAGGTTTGGTGTATAAATAACCAACTAACTAAGTACAATTTTCCTATATGTAAAAGTGTTTATGGTTTACCGCAAACACTTCTTACATACATGACTCTACAGCGTGGCTCTAAAGTCATGGCTGCAGCACGTATATATCGACTAGACCTGGAAACATCCCGCCTGCATGTACAAATAAAAGCCTCGTTAAGCCTTGTTACTGCTGTGTTCCGTAAAGCGAGTGACTAAAACTGTAGATACTTTTTTGCTTGTAATGAGCATTCCATCTTATTCTCAAAATATTTTTGACATTATGGTTCTCAATAGTGTTGCCCAAATGCAAGAACAAGACGAGACTTAGCTAGTCTTGGTCTTGGTTTTGCGCCAATACACCTGGTCTTGTTCTTGGTCTTGGTATTGCGCTCTCAGTCTTGTTCTTGGTCTTGGTCTTGCAGCAAGAGTCTCGCAAGTCTCGCAATTACCTATTAGCCTATTGTTATTTATTAAACGTTACTTTAAATCTTAGAAGAACTTAACAGAGTAGGCACATTTTGAGCTTGAATTAACATAGCCATAGAAAGACCAACCAAATTAATAAATGTCTAAACATTTAATGAGAAATTCGAAAAATCAATTAATACCGGGTGGGGTTTGAACCCACGACCTAACCGATCCGTGCCGATGCTCTAACCAACTGAACTATCTACCAAGTCTCACGGCCACGGGAGTTAGTCTGTTTCTTAATAAACGTTTACATTTAATAAGCTTACATG